GCTTTCAGTCACCCAAGGACAGATACTTTGCCTGGTGGTTTGTATTTTTAGTATCTCCTTCTTCAGTTGTCCTCTCTTCCCCTCTTCTTTGAAATACCCAAGTTCGACTCAAAAGCATTTGTTTAACACAGCTGAAACAAGATTTAACAGAATTATCAAGAGCTATATACCGTGCCTCAGGAGCTGGCTGGAAATTCCACGCACGTATTAGAAAGCAGCATAAAAAGACAAGAGGATAAAGGACAGCTGCCAGAATTGTTCTCTATTGCACTGAAGGGGACACATACGCACAGCTACCGCTAGGGAATTACGGCCCAACAAAAGCCTCTCTAGCTCAATGGCCAGAGGCCACCGCTGCCTGTTTGAGATTCATTTTATCACGTGAACGAAAACAGCTCAGAAACGCAGGCTATGCCTTCAGCCTACAAGAAGCATCACCATGGCCACAGCTACCTCCTATACTATTAACAAAAATAATTATTTTATTTCTTTCTGTATCTATAATATATAAATAGATGATAATTCATTTTTATTAATGTAGCTAAATATATTTTACGAATAAGTTATTTGGAGAACATTTTTTTTCTACATCAGCAAGTACTGTTATATCCAGTGAAGGAAATCTTTAAGAATGGTCCTTTAAAGTACTCTAATTATCAAGCAGCCAATTATGGAAGTCTAAGTCAGTTTTCATGCTGCCGAGAGATCGGTTTGGACACACTCCACACTTTGCACCTGTTTAGAAGTGAAAATGCAGCTCTCGTTTCTCTCCTCAAATACAAAACCCACCCCTCAGTGACCTACGCAATCTTCCACTCAACACTGACACCTTAAAGTAAAAATGATTGGCACCGTATCAGTCAAACACTCTTCAACAGCAACTCTTAAAGTAAACCAAAGCTCGAGTAACTTCCGTATCGGGTCTTAACTCAATCCTCACTAGTGCAACTCTGACACAAAATGTTCCTACAGGCAAACCCATTTGTAAACCAAGCAAGTGTAAAATGATAAAAAAAAAACCCACACTGCATGGAAAAATCCCAAAGGATTAGTGTCAGAAAGTATTTGGCAGCAAGAGACTGGAAAAAACATGAAGCCCTAACAGAAGAGAGTGGCTAACGCCAGTCATTTCGTAGGATGTTGTTAAAGTAGAACAGCTCCAGGACGGTTTTTGTTATTCAAGCTTTTCATCTCCTTCCTCCACGTCTTTCAGACTGAGCACTTCCAGTGTTCCTTTTCCTTTTGTCTCACTCCGGATCAGCTCATCAATCTCTCTGAAGCAGCCTGGGTCAATAAGGCACACCTGAAATATTTCACCTTTCATCAGTCAAGCAATACTATTTGATTTTCATCAGCCCCTTTTCAAGGTCTAGCATTAATTTTCATTAAAAAAAAAAACAGTTTAGTTACTAAGAAGGACTTCGCAGAGTTGATAAGCAATTTATATCACGTCATCTTTCCACAGAAGTTCTGCAGTTCCATTTAGCCATGGTGGACATGTCTTTTGACAGCTGGGATTGCCAGATTCTTATCTGTTCTCAGAAGGATTTTTACTAATACCAGGTTTTGCTTTACCACAGACTATTTTTTAAAAAAACTAGTTAACCACTGTCAAAATACAGGCCTGACCCACCAAACAAATAAGGGTAACTTTCCCTATATGCAGAGAAACTCATCAGTGTTGTAGAATAACAACTGCTAAGAGAAATTATGCTGTGCTTCTCCTCAGCTTGAAGCAGCAATCTCTGTATAATAAAGGCTACTTCATCACTAGGATTGTGTGAAATTAAAAACTACAAACTACAGCTCTAATTTAGAATCTCTGGTAAACTTGCAGTTTATCTAAACAACTTCCATACATTAATTCACCCTTTAGTAAACCATACAGGTGTAGTCAAATCAAGTATGAAACCCAAGGACTGCTTTATTGCTTACAATTTCCAACTGTTCATGGAAGTCTTCGTTCTCAATAACTTTAATCAGTGGCTTGAGCTTCTCTTTCAGTTTCTTCCCCTCCTTTGGTGGAAGAATAAATCGCAGCCTCATGTGAGCACGTTCAATTTGCATGGTCTCCTTTAACTGTCTGATCACTTCCAGTGCCTGTAAAGACATTAAGAAGAAAAAGCATTTACACAACCGCTGAAAAAAACACCGCACAGATCAAAATCCCAAATCCTCTCCATTAGCTTCAGACACATTTCTCAGTACTGATCACTGCCACCCTGCTGCAGGGATTTTGCTGTTATTTTGATAGATCAACAAGAAAAGGCAGAGTTCTTGCTGTTTGTGATCACTTCAAATACTAAAAAAACCTGTCTGAAATAATGTTAAATAGCAGTTATACTGCAGAACAACAGAAACCCATGTGGCTCAGATGCAAAGCCTGATTTACTACCTCACTTAAAATAAACAATAAAGCGTTTATTTCTGTTCCAGGCATACCGCTGTTGCTGCTTTAATTCATTTCTTTCTTTCTCCTTTCCCTGAATTGTTAAAAACCAAACTGCACAAGTTTCAGAGGCTGCTTGTATCCAGCATTCAACTGCCAGCCAGCTGAGTAATCATTCTGCGGGCTCCAGACCACAGGGCTTTGTTGATCCCTCTGTGACTGCTAACAGCGAAATTACACGTGAAGACAACACCTCTGAGCAGAAGCTGGTTTTGTGGGAAAACTCACCTGCTGCTTCGTGCTCTTGTGTGGTTTGACAGAGTAGTGAATATCCTTCATGGCTCTTTCTATAAGAATTACTGTGTATGGCCTCTTTGTTTCGGGATTCACACATTTGTCAGCCACAATAGTTGCGATGTCTCTAAACATCTGCTCCAGCTGTGTGTGTCGTTCCTTGTCTGATACCTGCAGCTCCCCTTTTGATAAAATCTTGACAATAATAATAACAACAAAATCAGTTAATAAATATCACAGATTTGACTAAAGAGTGAAAACCCTAGCAACAGTGTTAAATTCAACAATTGCTTGATTGGTTTGGTTAGACGTGAAATGCAGAAAAAGAATAACCATGTTAAGAATGTTCATCATTATGACAGACAACACTGGCAAGACTTTAGAGGAAAAAACCACCACCAAAACACTAAACTACAAAAAGAAAAGCGCAGATTTACTTGAATTCTCATCACCCACAAGTCCACAGTTCATATCCTACCAAGAAGGACTAAGAAATTAGATCTGTTCTTAACGCTTAATTGAACTGCCCAAAGTAGGCAACTGTCCCCTTCCTTTTCCTGCATCCTTAATAATACACCTTAGGTGAGAAACCCTTCAGTGCTGGTTAACCTTTTTTCTGTGTCTGTAGACATCAGTGCACAGAAGCTGTATGTTATACAGAACACTCAGAACTCTTTTCAGCCAGATGCATATATAAAATTTAAGACTATATGACAGAGTTGCCACTCCTTTCTACCCATTTCTTAACAAACAACCAACCCTTTCGCCTACAGCAGCACCGCATTCTATGAAAACCTTCCAGTAACAAACCAATCCACTGTGTCTGTATGACCCTCACGTAAAACATTTGTATAGTCTTCTTCAAGCTTTTACAAAGCAAAGTGGTCGAAACCTACCATCTTACAGATTTCTGTTTGGTCATCCGTCCCAAATGCTTTAACGAGATCTTCCTTCTTTGCCACCTGGCCTTTGGAAACGTTGACAAATACTGTGTGTGTCTGCAGGACCTCATCGAGATCTTTCTCCCTAGAGATGAAGGCAGGGTTAGAAAACCTGTCAAGTTAGTAACATAAAAGCGCAAGAGATTTTAGCAAGGAGGAACAAGTCCTGCTGCCAAGGTCTGGATCCGTTGTGCCTGGGAACTTCTATTGCGGTAATCATAGAATCATTTAGGTTGGAAAAGACCTTTAAGGTCATCAATTCCAACCGTTAACCCAGCACTGCCAAGCCCACCACTAAACCATGTCCCTAAGCACCACATCTCCCCAGCTTTTAAATCCCTCCAGGGATGGAGACTCAACCACTTCCCTGGGCAGCCTGGGCCAG